ATATTTTCAAAAATGTTTAACCCTTTTTGAGCTATTTTTATCCATAAGAAATTCGTAAAATGTCGTAAATTATTTCTCAGTTAGAAATTTATAAAAGTTTTTCTTTTCATAGCTAAGATAAAAATGTTCATAGGTTTCACATAAATATTTTTATAGCAAAAAGAAAATTTCACTGGAAATTCACACTTTTTAAAGCCACGAGATATTTTCGATTTTTGTTAATTTTTTTTAGATTCTGAGGGGAGCGAGGAAGCTAATGGTTTTCCATTGGTGTTTATTTTTTTTTTTATCCTGTATACAAAATTTCTACGAGACTTCAATTTCAACATACAATCTTTTAGCAAATTGGGTGAAGATGGTACTTTTGAGAGGTTATTTTTTTGATTTTCTCAATATTTTTTTAATGCCACTTGGAAAACTACCGATAAATTACGAAAAACCGCTAAAAATTGGATTTATTTTCCAACGTTTTGTTTAACATCATAGCAACGGATAAAAAAGTATAATATTTTAATATTAATTTAACTTACATGATATAATAAATAAAAAAAAATAAAGAAAAAATAGGTAAGTGGATGTCGCTCTGCTGTACAGTAGGTTACAAGTGGGTCAATATATAATGAATTGTATTAAACTTGAATTCAATGATACAATATCATTGCATAAGAAAAACGGTTCTGAGTGGAGACGATTTATCAGTCTAGATTTTTTATATTTTTATTATTAATTATAGCCCTTAAGATGAATTAATATTTTTATATTATTATTTTATATTGTTGCTACGGTTATAAACAAAACGTTTGAAATTAAAATCCCATTTTAAGTGGTTTCTTTGTAATTTGTCGGTAGTTTGCTAAAAGATAAGGTACTATTATGTTGAAATCAGAACTCCTTCTGGTAGAAATTTTATATACACGATAAAAAAAAAAAAATAAATAAACACCATTGTAAAACCACCTAATAATTTAAGGTTTTTTTAATAATGTTTCAGTCTCTGTGATACACAAAAAGTAATTACTCATCATTATTCTAATTACATTTATGTGTTCTCATAATACCATAAAGAATTTTTATATTAAGTCGCGGTTCGCTCATGTTAAATCCACAAATGGGACGTTTTTACATTCCCCCAAATATTCTGAACAACATGACCTATTGATAATATATTGCAAAATGGTTTTTGTATTCCTGTAATGCTATTAGAGGGCCAATTTTAATGCAAAAAAAAACCAAATGTTAACTATTCCCCTATAAATAATATAATATTATTTACATTTAATAGTTCAATACTAGATAAGAATTTATATCTACGTTTTACAATAAACCTTATATGGATTCTAAATCTTATAAAGATAGTAAAATAAAATACAAAAAAATCTGAACATTTTATATTTTTATAAACTAAATTGAAATGTAGCACAGGCCAGTGAAAAATGGAACGCGGGCTGCCAGTTACCCATTCCTGCTAGTGTATTATTTTTTTACTTCAAAATCTACTCGTATATTAATTTAGGTAGGTACTCCAGGTGCACAAAGAGTAATATTGAGTTAACCTAGTTATATTACCTATCTAATACATATCGTGTGCAAGATATCATAATAAATCAGATTACACGCCACATATTATTATTATTATTATTATTATCGTTTAATAAGGCCAACAAATATTTTGAACTTCACTATCACTTGTGATAGTATCACAAGGACTATCTTTAATAAATAATAATAATCATTTACTACGAACACATTTAGACCATGAAAAATCGAGTTTGTCATGATTCACACTACCCTCACTCAAAACTATAATATGACAATAAATTGCATGGAATGATAAATTCCTTAAAATCAGTCGGTGTTCCATTAACATTATTCCTTTTTTTGAAAAATTCAAATTTTTAACAATATATCCACCCAGCAAGACAAAATTGTTTGAATAATTGTAGGTAACGAGAGCTCTTAACAATCAACGGACAACTGACAATTGATATATAAGGTTTTTTCCTGTCTTAGAAATTGAAGGGTTGAGAGTGAGTGAAATAGCCTTGATTTGTGCATGAGAACGTATTTATGATTTGCCGAAACATTAACTAGAGCTAAAAATTGGTAAATTATTGAGATACAAAAAACTTTATGTATGCAATCATCATTATTTAAAAAAAATAAAAAAAATATGATTATGTTATAATCAAATTTAATTAATAATAATTTGGGCGATACCAATTCAAAAATTATTATAATATTATTTAGTACACCAATATATATTATACGACTTATTACTTCTTATTTCAATCATTAAATAATTATTATTAATTATTATGGCCCATCACCCATACGGCAATATAATGGAGGTGAATTGTAAGTACCTACATGAGTATAAAGTAAAAAATGACATACATTAATTCCTAGTGTTCCTAAGTGTTAATTATTACACCCATCATACACAAAATTGTTATCAACAATACATAAACATATTTTGAAAATTACTGAAATCCTCAAACTTTTTCAAGTAAATAAATACATCAAAATAAGAACCACAAATAGTAATACAAAAACAAAATATACACAAATAGAAAAAGTTATATATTTAAAAAACTTTTTAAATTCCAAAAAAAAATATATCATGAAGTAAAAAACATTTTTTTAATAATTATTTATTTATAAATGTATTGCTATTGGCGCCTGCTTGAATATACATTTTATATGTTAAATAATATTTTAAAGAATTTAAAAAAGAATTTTTCATTGCTTTTTTCAGGTATATTATTGATGTTTTAAAAATTATTATAAAAAAATTGTGTGCCATTAACTGTTAAATGATAAGTAGATGAAATGCTATTTTCTTTTCGAAATAAACTACAAATTGTTAAGTACCATTGGAGTTTAAACTATACAATTTTCATTTTTAAATTCTTATTTAAATGGATGTAAACGAGTTATTAGTATTTCAAGATACACAAACAATTTAAAATTTTGAAACACTCATAACTCACTTTAAAATTAAAATAGAATAAAAAGTTTGGCATACACAATAATCTTAAATTTAAATTTTACAAGAGGAAATTTACAATATTCAACTTATAATATTATATACTAATATTTTATTATTACAAATAATAGGTACTATTTAAAAGTTACATTAGGGTAGTTTGAATTTAAATGAATACAAGTTATACGATGTATTTCCCCATTAATAGAATTACTTGGCACATCTATTTTAACGAGTTTACGGGTCGTAAGTTCATAAGCTATCAATTTTCTAAATGATAGCATATTCTCCTGAGTGAAGTTGAATGCTGCATCTCTAGATAAATACTCGGCAATAGTGCAAACGAACACCCCGCAGTCAATACTATTATCCTGGACGGGGTTACTACCTTTAAACTGCTTCCAGTCATCTAACGGGAAGGATTTACCCAGTTTTTCATTATGTTCGAACACTAAGTATTCCATTATCTTAAGATGACAAGGATAATAGTAAAATTCCTTAAGGCTGTCGTAATAAATTAGTTCTTTGTTCACCATGTCTGCCACCACTAATACCCAGTGGGAAAAATTGCCTTGTACGATGTTGATAGGAAAAAAGACTTTACTTTTGGAGAAAATGTTTACTTTTTTTGTCCAACGCTTTATGGCATCGTAATTCTCTTTTGAATCTTTAGATCTTGTATACCGCTGATAAAAAAAGGTAGGAAGGGCATGTACACTCGGATATTCTTGCTGTAGCAGCAAAAAATAATCGTTAATAGCCTTATCATTTAACAACCATACACTTTGCGAAGCCATACTTGTCAACTGAAATCATAAAATATAATTATTAGACACACAATTTAATTGTACTTGTTTTATACTTGTTAAAATTAATAGTTTTTAGTTCGTTCTTACGGAATACAAAATAGACCCCTGCGAAAGTTACACATTTTAAAGTTAGTAACTTGGTTATATCTTACATTTCTAACTTATAACAAGATTGCATAATTTTCAAGTGACATGACATTAAAAATGAATATAACTGGTTTCAACGTGGGTTGTAACTTTTTATAATAGATTCATGTAAGATATTATTTTTAAATTACGTGTTTAATGCTCTAGCTAATATAAATTATATTAACTCAACAAGATATTTTAATCAGGCAAAGGTTATTAAGTAAAACGGATTTTTATGCAAAAGCAAATTTTGGTATAACACAAAAACTTATAATTGTAGATACTTTAATTTTTATCGAAATCTTTGCATGTCAATTTTCCATACATAATAACATTTTCAAAATATTTGGACACTTCTTCAGCTATTTATAGGCAAAAGAAATGTTTCTTCATTTATTTATTGTCAATATATTTCACGTTTTAAAAAAAGATTATAGATGTCAACCAATAATATTTTTTGTTAAACATTGTTAAAAATATGATACAAATATATGGGTTTAATATATAGGTTTCAACAATTGATTTTTTAAACTTATCAATGCTACTTCCTAGATTTTTTTAATTAACTTGTATTTATACTCATATATAGTGTACACAATTACAAATCCATTGAAAAATCCACACTTTAACAATATTAACACACAACATGCCTATTGTAAAGTTTTGGATTATAAAAATAAGTTTTTTTTTTTTTATGAATTGTTTACCTCGATTTGAAGGTAGGTAATATCAACCCATGTATTTGTAGTCATTTGAAATAGCTAAATATAATATTTTGCAATAATGTTCTCAATTTATTAATACTCAGAAAGATCTGGAATATATATTTTAATTTTGTATTAACCATTATATTTATATTAGTTGTACATGAACTTAAAATTCCAATTATTCATTGTTCTAGAACCCATATTATTATTTCAAACTTTTTATGCACTATTTTTATCAGCCAAATGTCCTTTTGTCTAAAATCTAAATGATTGTACATTTGTACCAATCATGATGTAACCTAACAAATGATCATTATATAAACATAAAACCAATTATAAAATGTATACCTTGCGTCTTGAAAATTTGAATCAATTTAAGTGTCGATGGTTAATTGGCTCCGGATAATGCCTATTGCAACCTAAAAAAAAACAAATCAGCCAAAAGTTGTATAATTCATGATACAAATATATAAATATAAATTACTTACAATCCGATTCAGGCAATAAATTGCAATTTGTAAAAATGTTCCGTGTTGTAAATAGTTGTTTGGAAGCATCAAATTTTCTGTGAAAAATGTTTAAAAATTAGATAATATATCAAAAAAATGTACATTTTCATTTATATTATATATCTTTTTTATGATTGTTACCTATGTATTAAATGACTGAACTTATAAATATGCATATTTCTTAATGTGGGCCACTAAAATATCTTTTTAAATAAAATCAAAACTTTTTAAGCAATTTATGGATATTTTCAATTTTCAATTTTTTTAGTTTATCTTTTCTATAAATATCAATTAACATTTTTCATTGAGTTAAAATTATTGAATACAAACCTTGTATATCTCATAAGTAATTCATACTATATAACCAAAATTATAAAAATTATAAAACACAGTTTTTTATAGATATTTTAAGTTCAAATTGAGATCAAATTAGATATTTAAACAAAGAATAATAATTTTAGGAATAATAGCATACTTAACGTTTAACCACTATTAAATTGCATTAACCACACTTTTACGCAAACTCGTTAAGGTTGTTGATTTTAAATTCACAGTTTGTTTATAATTGGTTGGTTTGTAATTCGTGAATTGTACTACGATAAGTAACAGTAACTTTAGAAATCGTAAATCGTAATAGCCGTCAGTCGTCACAGCACAATCAAGAAATAATTCAAAGCCCAACTACTGAAGAACATTGCCGATTTTTTCTTTTTGAAAATCTTGCAAGTCCATTGTGTACATGCGTAAAAATATAACTTTACAAATGGGCTATAATTCCAGATTAAGGGGGGGGGGGGCACGATCAAGGGGCCTATATTTATCACAAAAATATATTTTTTTAAATAGTTTAAAAGAAAAAAAATATGTAAGTAGGTAAATTATTATTAATAGATATAAAATAAAATTGTTCTCAATTTTATATCACGAAAAATTACTATAAAATATAATGATCTATGTTTGCAACAACAATTTTTTAGATTGGTTTTTTTTTTGAGCATTTTAGATTACCGATTTAATTATTTAAATGTAGTTAAAAGAAAATAATATTTAGCTCTTGTAAATTAGATATTTCAGTTAAAAGTATTAATGCATATTATGCTAAAATTTAGAGGACCATAGTTAATAAACTAGTGAACCAAAATTGATCATTCTACTGTCAAAATGTTCAGAAAAAAAGCTTTAACATTGAAATATAAAATATATTATATATATAAAATCATTGAAACACATGTTTCAAAAAAAATTTAAAAACGCGTAGAAACTAAATTTGTACCGAGTACCGACTCTTACTGAAGTCTGAGTCTGACACTGATACACACGCATAACTTCTCGAACACTTAATATTAAACCAATAGGAACGTTTCGTAATCCATTTAACTCAAATTTCTTATTAGAAAATCTTGATAAAAACTCGAGGGTCCATTGATATCTCGGTGTAACAAGTACACTTGCACATAGGGCGCTAGATTTTTTTAGATTTTACAACAATATTGTTATTACATCTGTACATTGTAAGAGTCTCTATCGCGTGCTCCCTGTATCGCATGTCTCGCGGATGTTCAGTCTATTAGTATAATGTCTATGGGCTGTAGCTCAAGTATTAAACCAATATGGCTACCAGTTATAACCATAGTAAAAACGCCCATGCACGACAACAATACACGAAGCAGCTGCGAATATGCTTTAACCCTCGTATAACACTATATGGCCGTGACTAAAAAATGACCCGACGGCGGAGACGTGTCACACAACAGCTAAAGATTGATTCCACCTCCACCACTACGCGGCAAGAGCATATAAGCCAACTGAAAAGTTTTTGGTGTAGAGCTAAGATAATATTATATTATACTCATGAAGACCATGATAAAGAGCCCAAACTCGTACGACCGCCCGCTTGAAAAAACGTTCCAGAATGAGGGGCACAATTAAACGAACTCAGGCTGAGCTGCGATCACTAGGGTTGCTAATTTTAAATTGTATGGATCGTAAGATTACGCATTCATACGTGTGCATATTATTATGTGTACCTATATTCCATAAACATTTTATACCGATATGTACCTATCGTTATACTCAAATTTGTTTCTTAAAATGTTGAATTTTAATGCAATATAAACATATTATGCACGTCATGTATTAATGCGTAATCGTACAAGCTATACAGTTTCAAAGGAATCATGGTTCAAAATAATGAATATATTTTCCAAACAAACGCAAAAAACATGAATAATCCCTATACCTACCTACTACGTGGCTTTAAGTAGCAACCATAGCGATCGCAGCGCAGCCTGTGGCCGTTTAATTGTGACAATAATTTCAGACCATTATAAGAAGCGGAGTTTTTTTAGGTTATGTTCATAGACCTGAAACCATGCCTTTATATCTCAGTTCTTGCTTTAAGACGTGCCAACTAATGCCTCAACTCTGGTGTCGGATATAACGGATGTGGAGCCGCACTACACACTATTTTGAGCACCAGGTACTTATCAAATATAATATTATAATATATATTATGGGACCATTTCATTAAAAATTATGGTTCACAAACTACAAAAGTTTACATTTATAAAACCCTTTGTGTCTTACTTAATGAATAGGTTGAAACAAAGTTTAAAAAGTTAATAAGTTATTTTTTGTGCAAGTTAGATGAGAATCCTGCAATGCATAACTTCTAGGCATACTTTGTAAGCACTTATATTTACCGTAAAGTTGTGGACTGCATGTTATCCACGTTAAATACCAATATGGTTTTCAATTTCTTTTTCAACTTAAAAAAATATAAGCTGCATTAACCTAAATTTTGGTAGGTGCAGTTGTTACAAATGAATTGTTGTTACTATATTATCATGTTATTGAAATTGTATAGCCATTTTATTAAAAATGTGTTGTAATAAACTTTAAAAAATAATAAGTAGGTATCGAGCATTCATATTAAGTATCAACAGTTTATTAATTTAACTAGATATCAAATTGGTATACCTTAACTGATTTTCAAAAATTACAAACTAAATATCCATACAAAATTGAGTTAGCAAGCCAAAACATAACCTATTAAAAAAAAATGTTCTTATTTCAATATCATTATTCTTACTTATCAGTAGAGCTAAGTAAATATTAATATAATTTATTTTAATCAAGGCTGGATTTAATGAGTTAAAAGTTAATTTAATATGAACATATTTACTTATGATGATGTCAGCTCAATATTTGTTTACTTTCTCAGACCAACGAGCAACATAGATTAAACACTTAAAAACTAAAATTGTTATTATGTGATGTTTGAATAATTTTAAGTAAAATCAACATTTTTAAAGATAATAGAAGATAATATTTTTGAAGGTAAACATATTGATTTTATATTTTGTTGTTATTTAACTTACAAAATAAACAAAAATTTTTTGTAAATTTAAATGTTGTTTAAGTTGTTTGGTGACAATATTGAGACAAATCGATCAACACTCAAAAAAATATTATTCTGTATAGTTTTTATAATGGGCAATTTGATAACTTAAAAACATAAAAAAAATGATTTCGCGTAAATGAAATTTGTCTATGTTGCGCGTGGGAAAGAGAGAAAAAACAAATAGTGAGATGACATCCTCTTAACTTACTAGTTTTCAGTTATAACTTAACTTTAACATAATTAATTTTCATGTACATAAGCTAAAAATCAACTTTATCATTTTTAATTTTAATATTCCCTATTAAGTAGTCCATTTTGAATTTATGTATTATCCAGAAAAATATTTTGATTGTTGGTTTATAATTATAAGTTCATAAACTATGGAAATTTGTGCATTAAAAATTTAAAATATTAAATTATTTACGAAGAATTTTATTCATATATTTTTAGAAAAAAAACTATTATATTAATTTAATTAATAATATTATCATAAATTGTATGAATAGTACATAATCATGAATAGTTTTTTATCTAAGTGGTCATCATTTATTTTTTTAATAAATATCTTATCGATGGAGTTTTTTTTTAATAATTTTTTTTATGAACTTAAGTTAATTAAAATTTAGCAAAGTAAATAGTATTTGTTAGTCTTACATTGAAGATTCTCTGAATTATTTATTTTGGTAAACTCTAAAGTATGCAGTCATTTTTCAATTTTCATCGTTGAATGCCATCACATTTCATCCTATGAAGGATTATTTAAAAAAAGATTTAAATTCAACATTCAAATGGACTTGGACAACCTATTAAAAGCGTAAAATGTTTTTTTAGATTCTGAGTGAAACGATGAATGTATTGATTTTACAATAATGTGTTGTCTTTTAATTTTTATGCAAAATCTGTTTTCGATAAAATCGTTTTTGGTGCAACTCTTAAACAAATGACCGTAGTTACATGAAATGTTGACTGAATCTTTATATTAGCATTTCCTATATACCATACAATTTTGACTCTTGAGCTGTGTACGGACATTTACAGCTTTCATTTTTTTTCAATACATATCAATACAATTTTATCTGTTGGGCAAGTGTAAAAATTTAATACAAGGCTCCTGATATATTGTTACAATATCAGTTTAAAAATATTAAAAATACATAGGCACAGTTAATTTTTATAAGCATTTAAAGATCAAATTTTGACGAAATTTATCAAATTTTAAATTAAATAATTATTTTGTAGTTAAAAATTTATAAAATGTTCAACTTTTAAGTCTAAGGATTGAAAATTTAAAACAAGATTCCATGTAAGTTGTTAATTCTGTTACCAAAAAATCTAAAAATACATACACAGAGTTTATTTTTATAGTCATTTTAAGTAAAAATTTGAATGAAATTACATAAAAAAAACCTAGAATAACTATTTTAGTTATTTCGTTGTGATTGTATAATATTAGATACCATAGATAAGCATATAATATGCCTTATACCTAGACTGACATACCGTCCCCGCTCAGAATCGTTTTTCGTATACAATAATATTATATCATTGTATTCAAATTTAATATCATCCATTATATAGTGACCTACTGTACAGCAGAGCACCTTTTTTTTTGTTCATTTTGACTAGTATTTTGTACTGAAATAAATCAGTTTACAATAGGTTGTTTGGCTTTGCCAAGAAGTAATTTGTATACTAGAATTAGCAAACATGAAAAATCTGAAAGTTATAAAAACAACTTTGAAGCATTTTTACTTTAATGTATTATGTCTGAAATGAACTCAATATTTGCTACTGGATAGAGACAAAGGGGTTTTGGAATGACTAATATAAATCATAAATTATTAAATATAATATATTAAATAGTAAATACTAAAGATTAAGTAGAAAGCAAGATTTAAGTTACCGTGGTGCCAAGGATGCAAAAGATGTACTCATATTAAGTAACCCTTCATTATACCTCAGGAAATCTAAATATGATTCAGTTCTTAAAGAACATACAGGCAAAGCTTTTTACAAAAGTTAAAAATCAAAAATTGTCTACTATACAGTAGACTATTTTTTAGACATTATAAGATCTTTAATGAAAATATTAGAACGGCAACATTTTTACAATTCAAATGGTTTCTACCAAGGATATAAATGTGCACGACTAGCTCGCAATTATTATTAGGTTTGTGACTGACGATATTAATTGAAAAATTACTAGCTATTGTCAATTGTAGTGAAGATAAACATCTAAATGATTTTGCTTGTTAAGCATAATAATAGAATCTTAATTTGGATGTCAAAATTGTATTGGCAGCTCTACCGATGTTGCAAGTAATATACGGGGTAAATACAGTGGTGTATCAGCATAAGCCATAATTAAATAAACAATCACCTGAACAGGTACATATATGGTGTTATAAATATATGCTTAACCTTGTTATGATTGATACAATTCAAGTACTAAATTACTTGGTTTGTCAAAATAAATGGTAGTTTTTGTCACAGAATCATACCTTAAAATAAATCAATTGCATGAAAATAGAAAGTATAAATTAATTTCTTATACTGGAGACACTTGTTGGTAGCCAGACTGAAGCCTAATGAAAGTATTCAGTATTCGTAAAGAAAGATAGTATATTAAAATTATACACACATTAAATTAAATTTAAAACTCAAGGCCTTGCAATCTTTAACATTATCATATTTTAATTTTGTAGTAATTATTTTTATTCTTACACCAAAATTGAGCGAGTTCTGCTCAGACTGAGTAAATATGTTTTCTCTATGTCGTACGTGTGTAAGACGGAGGCAACACATGCGGACGTGACGTCCTCTTAAACTATTTATTCACCTTTTTAACTATTTCACACGGTTCAATTATCTTAAACACATATTTCCCATTACTTTTGTTGGAAATACCACATTTTATGTGGGATTTATTATTATTAAATTCGACAATAAATTTGAATGAAAAATAAAATACTTTTGTATTATACTAGATAGATCTATTTTTGTGTTTGCTTACTTTTATAGTTTGACTTCAGTCAAAGTAGCTTACAGTAGTCGATTTACAAACTCTTCATAATTTTTTCCTATTGCAGGTTATTTTTTTTTTTTGCTTTATTTTATGCTTCATAATTATGTTTTTAAGAGATTATTCTAATGATTTTAAGTGCTGGATGTTCCGAGCCTAGCTAGTCGTGATTACTGAATTGTCCATTGCGTATAATATATTGTTTATAAAATATTCAAATTGTTTCATTCTTAACTGTTCTTAACACATGAGTAATAAAAAAAGTTTCTTTATTTTTTATCTTAACCATAGATAAATAAATACAATAAACACTACTAGTAGATAACCGTCTCCTTCTTACCATTGAAGCCGACCGCCATTTACCAAGAGGGTAATTGTTACAATATCATCACAGGGTATAATAAGCATAATAAGCATATAAAGTATAATATGAATAAATGTAAACATTCCCCTCTTTATAAATGGCGGCAGACTTCAACACCGGTCACAACCATGGTTAATCAAGTTATCATAATATTATAAACTAATCTATGTAGTACATAGACCTATAAACTAATGGACTGCACCTCACTCACCACCCAGCCATCAATGAGTGGCGCGAATATAGAGTGAGTGAGAAAGAACATCTTGGGGGAATCTTGGTGAACAATCATATAAGAGAAAGAGAGAAAAAACATAATGGGGGAAATTATAGACGTATGAAACTAATACTGTATATCGTACCCCTGACCTCTCTCTCTAAGCGCTGTCCATTAGTTTATAGGTCTGTGATGTAGTATAAAGACGATCTATCTATTATTGTGTGATAAGGCAACTCATGTGATAGCGTGATACTGATAAAGAATAGGGTGGTAGATGCTCGTGTAGTCGTGTATTTAAAGATATCGCGCACCAATTAGAGTGAACCAAGCTTATATTTACTACAACGTAAGTGTTCGAGCCGGGCACCATGGCCAGATCCGGCATTACAATTTTCTGCTAAAGAGTAAAGGTTAAACCAGACACCAGTAACCACGCACCCAGTGTTAACCGCAGGACATATTATTATTATTATATGTATACGGCGTCTTCTATCGATTATCAAATGGATGGAAGCATAATTTTAGGTTATTTATAAATTAAATAAATAAAATTCATTTTAAAATTTGTGTGCTTTATAGTCTTACAATTTACAAATGGATAATGGTTCCATTCGTAGGTCAACTGCAAGTCGCAGGATGGTGTTTGGAATACATTGAAAATTAAAACCAAATGGAGTGTATTGGGTCTAAAACACGTGGTAAGTGAACTAACTTCATTAACAAAGTATTTATTAGTATTTAGTCATTAAAGTACATTTTATTAGTAGTAATATCAAAGATATCAGTCAGTTAATAGTTAATTAAATGACAAAATTCAAAAGTATAAAGCGAGCTATAAAGTTAAAATAAAATAAAATTAACTTTAACTTTTTAACTTGTTAAGAGGACGCTACCCATACATTTGTTGTCTCCGTCTTACACACGCACGACATAGCAAATTGTCGTTCACTAGTTTCAATAGTATGCAGTTAGTTTTGATACTAGAGTGAATTGACCTATTATAACATATTTAGATAATAACATTATCTGTGCTTAAGCGTTGGATTTTTTTCGATATTTTAATTTTCAAGCGAGATATGAACATTTTAAATTTTTGATATTTCGCGTACTTATAACTTACTTGAAAATGAAAATATTTAAAAATCGCCAACGCTTAAGCACAGATAATATTCTTAACTAATAGTATGATAATAGGTCAATTCACTCTAATATTAAAACTAACAACACACTATTTAAACTAGCGAATGGAAATTTGGTATGTCGTACGTGTGTAAGACGGAGACAACAAATACATGGGTAGCGTCCTCTTAAGTTAAATTGGAAAAAAATAAAATGTTTTACTTAAAACAATTCACAGTAAATATTATTTGATATAAAAACAAAATAGATTGAAATAGTGAAATATGTTCTCATTTTTTTAATTGATCTGAGTATTGAAAAAGTGCCATTACTTTACAAATATGTTATAATATATTTTATGTTTTGTAGTTCTCGCCCTATTTTTTTTTTTATTGTTCTGGGTCTGGAAAACGTGCGATCACTTAACATAATATATATAAACACCAAAAAATTGTCCAAGATACAATGCACCTTGGAATTTACATTGAAATACACATAGAAATAGATAAAACAATTTCAAATATGTTACTTAAAAAATAATAAATTACCTAATCAATTCAGTATATAAATAATATATAACCACTTATCTTATGTAGATGATAAAAATATTGTTCAATTCTTTAAAATTTTAGAATTAATGATTTGGTCCACAGTACATAAAAAATTTGGAATGAATGTATTATTTTTAGAACTAAATACAAATTTTGATAAAAATGAACTACACCATTAAATTCTAAACAATATCTAACGTAAAATAACCTTAAGAACTTCTATGAAAAATTTTAAATGTTTAAAAGAAAATTAAAAGAATCGTTATTTTGATAGGAGAAATTGTATTATAAATTCATAAATGTTTTCATTGTTCTGACTGTGAGTGTATGGAACTAGGGAATATAATTTCTTCCACAAATTAATTCGCTTTTAATTATTTAGGAAGAAATAAACATTAGACGAGGGCCAAGTGAAGCAAAGCCAACTCTTCATACACAAAATAAAAATTTATTAATTTTCTAAAATAAAATAGTATTTTGATTACCTATATAAGATATTGCAATTAAAAATATAGTTAACATTGTTTTCTTTTAGTAAATGGTTTTTTATTAGGTATGTGCTTAAAAATAGTTTTAAATTAAACCATAATTTTTCAAACTTAAAAATTGTCCTTTCAGGTATATCAGTATAATATGCGACACAGTGAATAATAAAATGCCAATTCTACAAGACCCGATGGAAACATCAGTGTTGTTTTTGAAGCGTTAATTTTCTTAGTCTATTAGGTCGCTTACCTTCCACGACTCGGAATAACTCCCAGACGTCGAGTCGGTACTTCAACTATCGTTAATGAAGCGTTGGGATTTCTGACGACACAGACCTAGAATAGAGAGAAAATTATTGAAAACGTGCAAGTAGAACTGTGTTATGAAAAACATTTAATGCCACCCGAACAACAACGGGCATTTCGTTGACGTCGCGTCGCAAGTACAGAAACCACCGTCGTCACCAAACTCGCGTTATGACGTGGGTCTCGAAAACCGATATCGTATTTTATTATAATTGCGAGCGATCCGACTTTTGTATACGACGTTTTGGCCGACGGACGGCTTTCGGATGAAATGCGCGTGCTTCGGCACGAGCAATTAGTGTCGTTTTACTTCCGGCATACCTAACCTACACTCTTTACGAAATATACATACACGTAGGAACGCGGTGTACCCGACGGATAAAAATGGCGTTTCGTGTCGTACACGATTTCCCGACGTAAGATTTCGGATGACTTATGAAGCCTAGAAGTCGATTTGGCTAGTTTCGATAGCGTTCGGGAAAAAAATCGCATGGCGGCGGCGTGCACACCGTCTCGGGCCGCGGTGCCTCGAACGGCTCGGCGGCCATATTTCGTTTGAGACGGGCTGCGAACATTTCGATGTTCGCGGAAAAAACAAACGTCGTGCGGACGCGTCGCACCGTTTCCGACGTGCCGGGTCGTTGGTTGTACTTACGTTGCGAAAGAAATGCGATCCGAAGACTTGTTTACTCAGTGCAATCGACGTGAAAAAATTTCGTTCGTAGACGACGAGAACGCGTCGCAGTGAAAAAATGAAAATGGCGGCCGTAAACAACTACTAAGTAGACGAATCCAATACCGTGTGGCGACTGGCGGGCTCAGTGTCTACTGTCTGACACGGAGATTTTGGGTGATAGATAAGTAACAAGTTCGTTTATTACTATTATTATTATTACTATTATTATTATTATTATTATTATTATTATTATTATTATTATTATTTTTGTTGATGTTGTTTGCGCGCGGAACGTAACGGCGGTAGATAATATGTAATCTCCGATGGCGGTATTGTAAGGAAAAAAGTTAGTCATTTATTAACTGTCCAAACTAAAATAGTATTTTCGTTGTACGAGATATTGTAATAAAAAACCATAGATATGATGTTTTTTTTAGTACATGGTTTTTTATTAGGCATGTGCTTAAGCCTTGTTTTAGATTAAAACTAAATCTCTTAAACATATATCAATTTTCCCCCTCCAGTAGGTATAATAAATACGAGACATAGCAAAGTATATAAAATGCAAGTTCTACGAGACCTGAGGGAAGCCGTGTTGTAAGTCGCGATAGGTAGTTTTTTTTTGAAGCCTTAATTGTCTTAGAATACTAGTCCGCCTATCGATCTACGAAGATGTTGTTTTTGTCGAACCGCCTACTGTATAGAACAACCGGTACGAAGCTGAATAAAAGACGAAATTTATGTCCGACGTCGGTAGGTAAAAACAATCGTAAACGAAGCGTCGCAAAGTGATCGACGCACGTGTATAGAGAACCGAGAGAAAATGTTTGAAAATGCGACTGCGGTATGAAAGACATTTAAATAATTCGGAGTGCCTACTCGCGACGACGACGGGCGTTTGGTCGACATGGCGTCGCGAAAGCCCACCGAAACCGCCACGTCGTAACCGAATCGTCGTGTAATGACGTGGGTCTCGACAACCGTCGTTCGGTGCGAAATGTCGAATTTCATTATATTATGACTGCGAGTGAAACCCGACTTTCGGATGCGAAGTTTCCGTCGACGCATTAGCTTTGGGATGGAACGCGCGGAACGAACAACGATTGCCGTCGTTTCGCTTTCGGCGCGCCTATCCCCCCGTGTACCTAACGCGTGGTTCGGACGAAATGCGCGGTAGGTACGCGGTGCACAAAAATGACGTTTCGGGTGTAGAATTTCGGACGATTCGTGACGCGCGGACGTCGATTCGGCCAGGGACGATCGGATTCGGCGGAAAAATCTCGTGGCGGCGCGCACACGGTTTCGGGCTGCGGCGCCTCGAACGGCTCGGCGGCCATATTTGTGCGAGACCGCCGCGAACGTGTTTCGGTGTTCGCGACAAAAAAAACAAAAGGACGTAGTAGGACGGTGGCTTTGCGCCGTTTCCGACGTGTCGGATCGTTGTTTATGCTTACGTGACGAAAAAGCGGCGATCCGTGGACAGGTTTTCTGGACGGGAACGGCTTGACGGAATTTCAATCGCGGACGACGTGGAACGCTCCGAAGGTGAAAAATGGAAATGACGACCGTACGCGACAACAGTGTAGACGAATCCTGTGCGAGCTCAGTGTCTGACAGTCTGGCACTCGTACCGGAGAATATGGTCGATAAACAACATAAAAGATTATTATTATTATTATTGTCGTTTGAGCGCGAAACGCTATGGAGGTAGATTTCCAGGGCTATAGTACAAATCGAGTGTACCGGGCTCCTTGCGTGTCCGTATTCGGTGCGATTTTTGATCAGAATTTTCTGGTTACTCGCCAAATTCGATAAAAAAATAACGATGTAAACACAGTTGTTGAGGCAATTAGGGAGGTAAATAAAATAAATAAGCCAATAACATGTCTTAGACGAAACCTTAATTAAACACTTGAAAATACCATAGCGTATTTACATAATATAGTACATAGGTACTCCATAATAATATAGTCTACTTGTCTACTATATTATCATTGAAATAAGAAGTGTATTACTAATCAAGTGTGTTATAAAATCGCCAAGCCAAGTTCGATTATTTAGCAGACCGTTTCAACATAAATTATATCTAGTTATATATATAGTTCAAGAGCTTAGCAAAACAAATATCACAACTCTTAGGGTACTATTTTAAATTTCAAAAAAGGGTGTACCTACGTCCTACGGTAAAACAAAAATATACCTTTGCTGGGATGTCATATTTTATGTAATATTTTATAATATTTACCGTGTATTTGATCACATACTACATTACTACCTACCTAACTATATAAACTTCCCGGAGTTTTATTCCATCCGAATTTTTTTCGCGGGACATATGATAAAATATAGATACTAATAAATAATAATTGCCATATAGATACTTGAAAATGTTTCCAAAATTTAATATGTAATCATTATTTTTTAACTTTATTGAAAAGAGCACATATACTATTACATTAGGTATATTAAGAATACGCTACACGGACACTTGTTGTCTCCGTCTTACAAGTGCGTAACATAGTAAATTTTACGCTCGGAAAATCGCGTTTAACTCCGTTGGCTTAAAAATTAGAGTGAATTGACCTCTTATGAAATTTAAAGGTAAGCTTAAAATCGAGGACATTTCAATGGATTTTTGTTACATTTTAATTTTTAAAGCGAGTTATGAGTATTTTGAGATGTACAAATAATTAATAGTTTTAAAATACTCATAACTCGCTTTAAAAATTAAAATGTAACAAAAATCCTTTGATATGTCCTCGATTATAAACTTACCTTTAAATTTCATAAGAAGTCAATTCACTCTAATTTTTAAACCAACGGAGTTAAACGCGATTTTCCGAGCGTAACATTTGCTATGTTACGCACTTGTAAGACGGAGACAACAAATGTCCGTGTAGCGTTTTAGTGTTTTTAGAAAATTATTTTATATACGTATTCAAAATATTATAAAAAAAATCTTATTAATAATATACTAAGATAATTTACATAACACTAGCTCAATATATTATTAGCTATGGAATATGTATATGACGATCAGCTTTTAAATCTCATCTTTACCCACTGAGCATAACTTTAAACAACATGTTGAGAATAAATTTACCTACCTACTCAGTTTATTCTCTTTATTCCAAACTGTATATGCTCGTCATTATTTCAATCTCATTTTTATAAAAAAATATTTTGGTTTACATATCGCGTCGCATAAATCCGATGAAATAAAAATATGTAATCATAAATATACCAACAGGCAACAGGTAGGTACTGGGAGTTAGGAAAAGTCGTATAATAAATCTGTTTTTTGTTCTGCTATACTTTTGGCAAATGTCGGTATAAACATTTGTAAATCATTTAAATTAAATATCTAATACACATCTTAAATCCGATACTACTGTTGTTATTATTATCAATAATTATATTACATTTAATGTTGCCTTGATTAAACAAATAATTTACGTATTATAATGAACTCTCGAGCTTTGCTTTTTAAACGAGAACCATCATTGAATGTAATAATTGTATATTTTTTTTGTAACATGTGTAAAGATGTTACAGTACATTTTGGTGTCAATAAAAATTTATTATTTTTTTTTCGGCAGGACGCAGTCACGACGATCGTCCGCCGTCGTCCACTGTCCACACTCACGACTCGCCGACGTTATGGCCTGTCAGCCTATAATTCCGATCGGAAGTTGTGACCGCGGTATAAAGCGGTGCCATTCAATGACCACGATCTACCGGGAAAATTCCAGACCAGGACCGAGGCGAGATCGCGGATTACGGTCGTGACTTTGAACCGGCCCTAAGGTCGCCGCACACCACAGCGTCGGCGGGAAACATCCTTTGTCTCGGCTATGGAGGTAAAACATCGTGCCGGTCGTCCGGCTGCCACTTGCCACTGCCACTGCAGTGTAGTCCATCTCTACGACATCAAAAAATGTGACGTTTACGAGTCAAGACAATACGACGTTTGAAAATTAAAATATTCGCCCGCAAACGGTTTTTCGCCGTTTCCCACCATTATTAATCATTGGCCGTTGAAAATATTGTCAATCACTATTTAATAAAAAAATATTATAAATTATTGTCCGTTATTTCATCTACGCCGGTCGGCCATATTTGTTTACTCGCACAACTGTACAGAAGACGTGGAATCCGCGGTCCGGCGTGTGGGCGTGTACGAAAAAATAATTGAAAACACGACGCCGGCCGGCGGCTTCCGCGGCGGGCACTACTAGCCGAAACCGGAGCAAGCCGGTGCGCAACGGCCGGCACACCGCTACGTATCGAAACGCAACGGCGTTGTTGCGAAGTATTACGAGGTATAGATCGTAGGTTTCGGATTTTTCTTTTCGGAAAATCTGGTTGATTCTCCCTCCGGTTTCAGAGTAGCATCGCTAATTATTTAACGAGACACGGTCCATGTCCAAAATCGTAGGGAATTCTACCCGGAAAATGGCAATCGGGACATGAGACGTCATAATAAAATATAGGCTGAACCGATAATGGGCTTTGGATTTGAATCAAAAGTTTTTATGTTATATTATAATGGTATATTGGCACCTGTCAAGTTTCAAGTAGTGACAAAATATACAGAACAACTGTAGGAAAATTATAATAATATATAATTGTAGGGTACCTTGTATATTCAGTATTGTTATATTTTTATAATAACTACCTACATAAAATAATTTAGACGGGTATACCGTACCACCTATATAGATGGATCGAATAGCTGTATTTAAAATTTTAAAATATAGTACATATATACTAATTAGTAATAACCATACCTCCCAACTCCGTACTCGATACAATGATGGACGTGAAAAAAAAAGTTGAAAATAAATGTCAAATGATTTTTTAATGAATATTTATTTAAAGTTACTGTCAACTGTATATAAAAAAAAAATTATAATAAATTTAAAGCATTTATAATAAAATGTAATTTTATAGTATGATACTGCAATCAATTATATAAGTTTTTTTTTACTTCAACATCCATGTCTTACTTATTATGATTAATATAAAATTTTTCAATTTTGTTGAATTTACTCATTTATAAAACAATATTAAGTATTTTTCAATTGTGTTCATTTAATGTTAATTTGGTTATTATTTATGCCTCCAAATTGAAAAACGCTTAAAGAATGTAAAAATTAAATACAAACAGTGTAATCCAATTTAATTACATAGAAAATATAAAAATATTATATACCTACATTATAAATACATAATTTAAGAAAAAAAATTGAAAATAAATGTGTAATCATTTTTATTGACTATTTATTTAAAGTTACTGTCAACTGTATAAAAAAAAAAATATATAATAAATTTAAAGCATTTATAATAAAATGTAATTTTATAGTATGATACTGCAAACAATTATATTTTTTTTTTTACTTCAACATCCATGTCTTACTTATTATGATTAATATAGTTTTTTTTATTAAATAGAATTTTGTTTAGATTTATAATTGTGGATATTTTATTTATACAAAACACATTTCATAACTTCTACCACTGACTTTTTTGAAATTAAATAAATTCATATAAATATATTACACCTAGTTTTAATCAAAATATAAAATTTCTCAATTTTGTTGAATTTACTTAATTATAAAACAATATTAACTATTTTCAATTGTGTGCGCATAATGTTAATTTGGTTATTATTTATTGGCTCCAAATTGAAAATGTTTAAAAGAATGTAAACATTTAAAACAAACAGTATAGTTCAATTGAATTATGTAATAATTTATATTGTTTAAACAAAATGAAAAATATATTTTTCGTGAAATTTAAAATATATTCTTTAAGAAAAAGAAAATTAAAAATAAATATAAAATGATATTTTATGGAATATTTATAAAATAGAATTTTATTTGAATTTATAAATATTGACATTTTATTTATACAAAACAAATTTCATAACTTCTACTATTATCTCTTTTGAAATTAAAGGAATTTACATTAATATTTTATACCTAGTATTACAAAATATACAATTTACTCAAATATATTATTTTAAGAAAAATAAAGTTGAAAATAAATGACAAAGGATTTTTTAATGAATATTTATTTGAAGTTACTGTCAACTGTAAAGTAAAAAATAATAATAATAATTAATTTAAAAAAAAATAATTTAAAGCCATTATAAAAAAAAACTTTTTTTTTAGTATGACACTGCAATAAATTTTATTAGTATTTTATGACTTCAACATCCGTGCCTTACTTATTGTGATTAATATAATTAAATGTATTAAATAGAATTTTGTATTGATTTATAAATGTTGACATTTTATTTATACAAAACGAATTTCATACATCTACCATTATCTCTTTTGAAATTAAAGGAATGTTTATTAATATATTATACCCAGTTTTAAACAAAATATAGAATATAATCAAATATATAATTTAAGATAAAGAAAGTTGAAAATAATTGTCAATCATTTTTTAATGAATATTTAATTGAAGTTGCTGTCAACTGTAAATTAAAAGAAATAATAATAATAAATTAAAAACAATTAATTTAAAGTATTTATTACAAAATGTTACTTTTTAGTATGGTACTGCTATCAGTTTCAATAGTTTTTTATAATTTCAACATCCGTGAATTACTTATTATGATTAGTATTATTAAATTTATTATATTCATTTTTTTTTTTTAAATAGAAATATGTTTGGATTTCTGAATGATGAAATTTTATTTATATAAAACAAATTTCATAATTTCTACCATTAACTTTTTTGAAATTAAAAAGAACAAATATTAATATATTATACCTAGTTTTAAACAAAATATACAATTCACTCAAATATATTATTTTCAGAAAAATAAAGTTGAAAATAAATGACAAAGGATTTTTTAACGAATATTTATTTTAAGTATACATTTTTTTAAATTAAGTTAATCCAATCTTAAAAATACATTTTATATCAGTTAAAATTTTTGAATATAACATGAATAATAAAATTGTATTTAATTTGAATTTGTATGCAAAATAAATTTAATTACTTTTAAGTGTTAAATATTATGAAACAAATTCTATTTTGTTGAAGAGATTTATAAAGTTAATATAGAATATAATTTAGATTATTTTAAAAATTTCAACACTACAAATATATACCTAAGCCATTTAGTTCATTTTGTTTTTACTAAATTAAGTTAAAACAGTCTTAAAAATATATTTTAAATCAGTTAAAATAATTTTCATTATAACATGAATAAATTTAATTACTTTTAAGTATTAAATATTATGAAATAAATTCTATTTTGTTGACGAGATTTATAAAGATTATATAGAATATAATTTAGATTATTTTAAAAATTTCAACACTACAAATATATACCTAAGCCCTTTAGTTTATTTTGATTTTTTTTTGAAATTATATTGTTTTTACTAAATTAAGTGAAAACAGTCTTAAATATATATTTTAAATCAGTTAAAATAATTTTGAATATAACATGAATAAATTGAATAACTTTTTAGTGTTACACATAATGAAATAAATTCTCTTTAGTTGACTAAATTTATAGAAATTATATTGAATATAAAATATATTATTTGAAAAAATGCAAAATACTCTATTTGTAGATCTGAGTTTTAGAAAAATTTTAACAATAAAAAGATCTACTTAGCCCATGTAGTTTATTTTAACATTTTTTGAAATTAAGGTAAACAAGTGTTAAAAATACATTTTATATCAGTTAAATTCATTTTGATTATAACATGAATAAATTGAATTACTTTTTAGTGTTACACATTATAAAATAAATCCTGTTTGGTAGACTAAATTTATAGAAATTATATTGAATATATCATATATTATTTAAAAAAATGCAAAATAATCTATTTGTAAATATGGGTTTTAGAAAAATGTTAACAATAAAATATCTAATGAGCCCATGTAGTTAACTTTACATTTTTTGAAATTAAGTTAATCGATTGTTAAAAATACATTTTATATCAGTTAAAATAATTTTGAATATAACATGAATAATAAAATTGTTTTTAATTTGAATTTGTATGCAAAATAAATTTAATTAATTTTAAGTGTTAAATCTGATGAAATAAATTCTATTTTGTTGACGAGATTTATAAAGTTTATACAGAATATAATTTAGATTATTTTAAAAATTTCAACACTAGAAATATATACCTAAGCCATTTAGTTTATTTTGAATTTTTTTGAAATTATATTGTTATTACTAAATTAAGTTAAAACAGTCTTAAAATATATTTTAAATCAGTTAAAATAATTTTGACTATAACATGAATAAATTGAATTACTTTTTAGTGTTAAACATTATGAAATTAATTCTGTTTAGTAGACTAAATTTATAGAAATTATATTGAATATAATATATATTATTTAAAAAAATGCAAAATACTCTATTTGTAAATCTGAGTTTTAGAAAAAGTTCAACAATAAAATATCTACTTAGCTTATGTAATTAATTTTTTCATTTTTTTAAATTAAGTTAATCGAGTCTTAAAAATACATTTTATATCTGTTAAAATAATTTTGAATATAATGTGAATAAATTAAATTACTTTTGAGTGTTAAACATTATAAAATAAATTCTTTTTAGTTGACTAGATTTATAAAGTTTATATAGAATATAATTTAGATTATTTTAAAAATGTTAACACTAAAAATATATACTTAAGCACATTAGGTTTTTTTGAATTTTTAATAAGTTAGATGTTTTTATTAAATTAAGTTAAATAAGTGTTAAAAATACATTTTATATCAGTTAAAATAATTTTGAATACAACTCGAACAAATTTAATTACTTTTGAGTGTTAAACATTATAAAATAAATTCTTTTTAGTTGACTCGATTTATAAAGTTTATATAGAATATAATATATATTATTTAAAAAAATGCAAAATACTCTATTTGTAATCTGGGT